TACATATCCCTATTTTAAGAAATTACCAGCCAGACCGGTCCAGCTGAAGGATTTGCAAAAATTTGCATGATTTTCGGATTTTGACCAGAAGTTAATTAGTAAATTTTTTACAGATCGGCAAAATAACCATTTTTTAATAAAAAAAAGGACCAAAAAACTCAGAAAAACATGTTTGTTCGCAACTTTCACACTGGAACACTAAATTCCCGGCAGCCATTTTTTTGGAACGGCTGCCGCAGTAAATTTTATTATTAAATTTGTTAAAACGTCTATAATTGCATGTACAAAAATATGTTTTTCTCAACGGATATTTGTTTAAATTACGTGAAAATTGAGATTCTAATCGTTGAATCTCATCTGAACAAACTTTATTATTGAAGTAAAATCGATTTTATTTTGACAAACCACTTGAATTAATGTTTGAAAATTGTCTTGCAAAAACAAAAACGTATGTAAAAGAGAAATGAAAATCTACAATAATTTGATGATTTAATCCGTTTGATTTGAAATTTTACACACAAACTCTTGAAACATTCCTCTAAAAACCTTATTATGATCGTACAGCATGTTTCATTTGACCATTATCCTCAAATCAATTGATACGTTCCTGCAAATAAAAACAAAATTCGTTAGTAGTTCTTGCCACAAAAATATTAATAACTTTACCTGTTCAAGTTCAAAATGTTTCAAACGTCATCAGACAAAATTTGAAGCTGATAGCTAAAAGTTTTGTTAAGACGCAGTCGTATGTTTAGACTGAACTTGCAAAAAACCTACAATGATACCATCATTTTTCGTCACTTTCATCAAAACGCAGAACGTCTTAACAAAGACAAACGTAAAACTTAAATATCTTTACGAGTTTTCGTCCAAATGAGCTGAAATTTCACAGACAAATTCTCGAATATCATATCTACAATCGGTATTAATGAAGGTTCTGACGTTTCATTGTGAGAAAGTGGCCTTCTGATCGATTGAAATTCGTCGGCAATTTTGCGAAAACGTATGCACGAAACGAAGAGAAAAACATGAATATCTCCGCGAATATCTAATGAAAAGGCTAAAAATTGATATTCTGATAGTCCGATATCCCATCCACAAGTTTGATTAGAAGCGTAAAGGTGATTTGCTTGTGAGAGAGTTGTCAAATTATTCGTTGAAGTGTGGGCTATTGTGACGGAAAAACTAAAAAAGATAGACGTTTTGGTGAAAGTCAGATTACTTTTATTTCCAAAGGTAGAAATCTATTTTTGGTAATTCCACTATTATTTTTTAGTTTAGTGTAATTTCCTAATGTAGACAATCTATATTTGGTAATTCTACTTATTAAATTCAAAATTTGTACGAACAAATTATTTTATTAAAAAGTATAAAAAGAATGATATTTTTGTTTTTATTATACCAAAGTGATTGTTCCAAAATGTCTGTGTTTAAATTGCAAAATAAAACTTTTGATATCAATGCTAAGCATAGATATTTGAATTTCACAGCTTATCATTTTGATAGGAAACAGTTTAATTCTTTGGTAGAAAAGTATTTTAAAAGTAATAAAAATCCTTTTCGCTACATCAAATATCAATATGAAAGGAATTACAATCCCCAACAAGATCAGATGGACATTCATATCCAAGGAGTTCTAATTCTCAAAGACGCAACAAGAATCGGAAAATATTTAAAAGCTGGTGAAAAAAATAGAAAAAAAGATATTGCTTTAGGTGTTAAAGGTCTTTTACAAATGAATAAAACTCATTTTGAAGGTGTTGCAAGCATTGAAGATTCTGTTCGTTATACTGGAAAAGATTATAACAAATGCTCATTGTATCACAAAAAACCTATTGATCCAAATGATCCCTTATGTTGTGTCGATGTGATTATTTTGATCTAGGAAAATTTTGTAAATAGTGTAATGAAAGTTGTAAAAAATATAGAACTTTGGTGAGATATGATTCTGATTCTGGACCTTTCGAATATGGAACTTATATTGCAAAAAACATTACAAAAATTAAGAAGAATAATAAAACCCTTGAAGATGATTATTTAGAAGAAGTTATTCAAGATATCTTAGATGGGAAGCTTATTAAAGATCAAATTCTTGTCAAATACATAAAAAAAATAAACAATGGGTAAAAAACAATTTAGGTTTTGTCGAAACTTTGTGTAATGCTATAAAAAGAGTAGAAAACTTAAACAATAATTATGAAAGGTGTTGGAAATCTTGCAATATTTATATTTTTGGTTATCCACGTACCGGTAAATCATATCTTTTTTGTATTCTATTTCCTAAAGCATATGAGAAACCAAGTGAAGATCCAAAGTGGTGGCCAAACTTTAATGGGCAAGAAGAAGTTATCATTAATGAAGTAGATGGCAATTATTTTAAATGGAAAGATTTGTTAAATATTTTAGATCGCGGTGAATATAGTGTGCAAGTTAAAGTCTCACATATTAATTAAACACCAAAAATTCAATGTTTTACATCAAATGTGCTATTGGATAAATTGTATCGATTTAATGAAAATAAAAAATATATTTCAGAAGAAAGAGGATACAAAAAAACAAATAGAAAATATTTTTCAGTATTAAACGATAGATTTGATTATGTTATTGAATATTACAAATATAGAGTTGATGAGAAACCAATATGCGAAAATGAATATATTTGTTGTAAAGTAAAAAGAATTTTTCATAAAGGTTCTAAAGCTTCTTTCAATAATCAAGAATTTGAGATAGAGTTTAATGACAAAGTAGATGAAAAAGCAATAATTTCTATAATGCAAAAAAAAGATGGACTTCTCTTTAAAAAAAGCAACAGATACTATTGGCGTCCAGAGTTTAAATTTGATAGAACAAAATATATTTTGACAGATTGTGAGAACTTCAATGGTATAGAAGCAGATATCATAGTTTATCCAGCAATTGTTGAAAAATTACGTGCTAAAAATAGTAAAGAAATTGAAATAATTGATCATAAAGAAAAATATAAAGAATTATTTGAATCTGATACTACAAAAAATAATGAGGTTAATATGGATATAGAAGAAAACTAGAATTCACAAATTGAATCTAGCACATCTCATATTCAGGTTCAAGAAGAAGAATCAAGCAAAGAAGATTTATCAGATATTAATTCTGATGATTCAGATTATACACATAGAAAAAAGAAAAGCAAATCAGTTGTTGATTCCATTACTAAAAATTTAATAGCAACAAAAAAAAACTCTTTCCGGTACATCACCGGAAAATTCGTTCCAAACAAAATTTTGACAAAAAACTCCCCCTTTTCTCAAA